CTGGATGGCTCGGGTTCAATCTTTGGTGACTAGCTATGATGGAGGTTGCTACACTTATAATCCCTTTAATCACAGGTTCTGAATATGCTTTGTTGTAGGCAGAGCTAGCCTATAGTTAAGCAACCGAAAATTTAGAATGGGAAGTGTTGAAATGTTGGGAAGCCTTATAATTTTGCCAGTCTGGAACGAACATCCCATCTGAGGGATGGGGGCGGGGAGAGAGGAGAGTGAGACAGGACCAGGAAACTGGGACAAGGAATCCAGAGCGGTAGTGGGGGGCAGTTGAAATCAGATGAGGAGCTGGGGCGGGTTAGACAGCAATAGGCTAGACATAGACTGGAGGGGACGGGGAAGAAGGGTCTTTGACTACTAGAGACCACTCCGTTCAGGAGCCTGGAATAGACCCAGGATTCCTGAGTTTCACAGTTTCTCTTCTGTCAGCAGATATCTGTGAAACCCAGTGGCAAAAAAAGTGTCTCATTCCCCTATAGAGCTGATCTATCACATATAGGATGACAACTTACTGCCTCTGCCATCACTTACTCCATTAGCTCACGTGGCAGAAGTCTGTGCAGTGGATCTAAAGGTTCATCGGCAGGGTTGGAGCCATGCGAGTTTCACGATGATTCCACATGACAGAATTTCTGGGGCAGTTCAGTTTTGATTTTTACAACAAAACCTGGGGAAATGCATACAGAAATAGGGTGACCAGATGCCTAAATAGGGGAATCTCAAGCAGGAGTAGAGAGGTTATTTTATTTCTGTATTTGGCACTGGTGCAAAGACTGCTGGAATACTGTGTCCAGTTCTGGTGTGCACAATTTAAGAAGGATATTGATAAATTGGAGAGTGTTCAGAGAAGAGTCACAAGACTGATTAAAGGATTATAAAACATGCCTTATAGTGATGGACTCAAGGACCTCAATCTATTTAGCTTAACAAAAAGAAGGTTAAGAAGTGACTTGGTTATAGACTGTAAGTATCTACATGGGGAACAAATAGTTAATAATGGGCACTTCAGTCTAGCAGAGAAAGGTAGAGCATGAGCCAACGGTTGGAAGTTGCAGCTAGGCAAATTCAGACTGGATATAAGGCATAGCTTTTCTATGGTGAGAGTAATTAACGATTAACAATACACTAAGGGTCATGGTGTTTTTCTAAAAGCTTTTTCTAACAGCTATCCTCTAGGAATTGTTTTGGGAAAGTTCTATGTCTGTGCTATACAGGCGGTGAGACCAGGTGATCCGGATCCCTTCTGGCTTTATAATCTCAGAACTAGGTACATCAATTCACATGCAAAATTCTCATTGAATTCAATAGGTGTCCTTGCCCTGTGGCTTGTGGTGCACGCTGCAGCAGGGGCCGTACAACCCCTCTCGCAGCTTCGTAGGGCCCCCTCTCGCAGCTTCCTAGGGCCCCCTCTCATGGCTCTGTGCACCTGTGTCTGTCATTGTCGTCCTCTCCCCTCCCCCCACCCCGCTCACCCAATGTGTCCTGATATTTCATTCTTGCGATCTGGTCACCCTAGTAGCAAAGGGGAGATGATGGGTAGTGGGGAGATAGGCTGTGAAGGGCACTGAAAGAGAAGAAAAGTAGGTTATGTTTGATACACAGAGGGAGCTAGTGGACAGATGCAAAGAGAGGGGTGATATATTCAAAGCAACAAGCCTGCAGAATGACCTTTGCAGCAGCATGCTGACTGGATACAAGTGGGGCAACATTGCATTTGTCAAGGCTAGAGAAAAGGCTGCTGTAGTAATCACCTCATAAGATGATCAAGTATCAGGGGGTAGCCGTGTTAGTCTGTATCTACAAAAACAACAACCCTGTTTCCCCGAAAATAAGACAGTGTCTTATATTAATTTTTGCTCCCAAAGATGCGCTAGGTCTTATTTTCAGGGGAGGTCTTATTTTTCCTGGAACTTCGGGGCCTTATATTCCGGGGTGGCCTTATTATCGGGGAGGTCTTATTTTCGGGGGGATGCCTTATATTACAGCGAGACGCAAAACTGGAAGTAGGTCTTATTTTCGGGGGATGTCTTACTTTCGGGGAAACAGGGAAGGAGTCTGGTGGCACCTTAAAGACTAACAGATTTATTTGGGCATAAGCTTTCGTGGGTAAAAACCTCACTTCTTCCTATGCATCCGAAGAAGTGAGGTTTTTACCCACGAAAGCTTATGCCCCAATAAATCTGTTAGTCTTTAAGGTGCCACCAGACTCCTTGTTGTTCACATAAGATGATGAGAACCTGGCCAAGAATTTTAGCTATGGATAGGAAAGACTGTATATTAGAGATGTTATGCAGAAAGAAATGCGTTGCAGACTGCTATGGTTAGCTGGATGGCAGCCTTTTACCCCAGAGCCAGCTGCACTTCAAGGGTGCTGTAGATACAGAACAGTTAAAATAAACGGAAAGAGGAGGGAGAGCTCTGAGGGCACCAAGCCAGGAGGGGGGAGCGCTCTGCTTCACCACACCAGGGCCAGGTGCAGACCTTGTGCTTTAGGACCCGAAAGGGGAGTATCTGTGGCCTGGGCTGGCACGGACCCAGCACCGCTGTCTCCCTGGCAGATTCTCAGTTTATGCAGCCAAACGCCTGTTCATGGGCCGCGAATGCCAGTGGAGCAGCAATGCTACCCCGGGCAGCTTGGGACACACGGCAGCTCCCGCCGATCGCCTCACAACAAGCCAGGGTCTCCCAGGGTCAGCAGCCGGGGCCCAATGAGGGGCAGGCCCAGGCGGCGACGCCCGGGCTGGTCTCCTCCCCCCAGGCGGTTTGTGCAATGCAAGGCGGAGCTGCTGGTTTGCAGGCAGTCGCCGGCGCCTGGAACACGGTATATTACAGCGGCCGGCTGCACCTAAGCCTGCCTCGCTTCCTGTCCCGGCAGCTGCCAGCATCAGCCGCTTTCCTCGGTCCCCCTACCGCCACAGCTCCCCATGGAGAAGGCTGAGGACGGGTCCCAGGGCTTCCTGCCGCCCTTCGAGCACTTCGCCACTCAGGCCATCCACGTGGGGCAGGAGCCGGAGCAATGGACCTCCATGGCCGTCGTGCCCCCCATCTCTCTCTCCACCACCTTCAAGCAGCAGGCGCCCGGCCAGCACTGCGTGAGTGGGGACTCCTGCGGGGGAGGAGTGGAAGGGGTGATGCGGAGCGAAGGGAAACGTGGGGAGTGAGCGAGAGAAAGCGCTGCGGGCAGGAGCGAGAGGCATGGAACAGATGTCGGTTTCAAAGGCTCTCTCAACCTGTCAGGAAATGAGGTGGGGTAAAAGGTTTACTCCCCTATAAAGCAGAAACGTGCGTCCCTGGAGGTCCAGTCCAGCTCTGACCCTTACACAAATTATCCACATGTAAACACGCGCACATTTGTAAGGGAAACCAATTTGTTTCCTGTCAATTCAGACTGGAAATAGTGGTTTATTTTTTTAAAATCCAGTTTTGGGGCACAAAAAGGATGTAAAGCAGCAAACTATTTACAGCTGAAGAGTTTAAAAAAAGTCTCAACAAGTTTTTGTTTTGCAAAATTTCAAAACAAACTTATTTTCCCTGGAGAAGGCTCTTTCAAGTATGCTAAGTTTCAGCCAAAAGCAAAAATTCTGTATCATTGCCGTAAATAATCCTCCTCTGTATCACAAAAAGGTCCAGAGTGCAAATGCACACTCATTTGTAACTAGAGATTCCAGTGGATACCATAGAACAGAAATCCTTTGCCACTGCACTTTAAACGTTACAACACAGCTTGGAAGTTTCGTAAACCAGGTGGCAGCTGCCCAAATAGGCACCTGTCCAAAGCAGCATATCTATCATTAAATACTCAGTGCAGAGACATATTATGCATTTAAAAATCAATATTTATAATGCTTAATAAAGTTTTTGACTCTTTAACCATTTAATGCATGTGAGTCTAGCAATGTCAGAATGATGAAAGAAGGGGCTTGGCTGCCCGAGGGAGGTAGTGCGCAGTGAGTTAGTGTAGAGAAGGTAGCGCACTTTAAATTCTTACCCTATCTCTGTGTGGACACTCTTACTGTGCATTAAGTGTACCCTTAGGTAGTTTAGCTTAATTTAATTCAGATTGGAAGTATGTTAATGGGCACAAGGGCCCTTTTAGTGCTCAGTAAGGGTATCCACATGGGGGTGGTTGTGGTGGTTAATGCAGAATAGCTAGTGCACAATAGCTACTTTGGACTTTCCCCCTGTGTAAAGAAGCCCTAAGTAAACATGCAAAACAGGCTGGAAGAAAAACATAATTCCCTCACTTGCTCCCTTTGCTCTGTTAGTACAGAATTGTAGCAGTTGTCAAGAGAAGGCAAACTTGTTTTCCTCTGAGACTAGTCAGCTTGGAGCTTAATATCTCCCACAATTAGCTGAATGTGGATCAGAATCAGGTCATTAGACTGTATTTCTTCTTTCAGTCTGATTTCCCAGTAGTATTAGTGTGGGGGAAGAGTAATAGAAAAAGTTCCTTGATAGTTTGTAGGCATGGATATATGGTCCTTACAGTTTCTCTTAACTGTAATACTACTAAAAAGTGGTCATACTGCAGAGCAGAGCAAAAAGCAATGCAATACTCCATAAACTACAAACTATGCTAGAGAAGGGGTTGAGTATAGTAATTTAGCACAAAAGGGGTTGTACTGTAGGCTGAAAGGAAACAATGCCTGCTGGCAGATTTCAAAGAGACTGAAATGCCATTGATTCAGAGCCAAGATCTTCACCTGATTAGTGATGTTTTGGGTACCCAGTTTGAGATATATTAAAGAGGCCTGACTTTAAAGAAGTCCTGAACAACAGCATGAGTTAACGGACATCCTACAGCCCTCTTCTTCCTCTAGGGTTGCATTACCAATCAATGTAGCCCTTTTAGAACCTGCTAAGTCCATCTGGCAGACTCCAGCTACAAGCCTACCTACCTGTAAACAAGCGGACCGGAAGTACTTCATCCCTTCTAAGGGCTCTGAATTCCTTTTTACCCATCCGGCGCCAAACTCGTTGGTAGTAGACGCAGCGAACCAAAGGACCAAACAACAGTATTCCCGCTCCACCCCGACCAACAAGGAAAGTAAACGCTTGGACCTCTTTGGTCGTAAAGTATATGCATCCTCAACGTTATAATTTCGTATAGCTAATTATACTGCAGTTCTTGCAAAATATGACCACAGAAACTATAATAAATTCATGGACTTTATTGATGACATCCCAGAACAGAAAAAACAACAATTCACAGCTCTGGTTTCTGAGGGACAAATCATATCACGTACCGCTCTTCAAGCAGCCCTCGATGTAGCCAATACTGCAGCAAGATCGACCGCCACAGCAGTGGTCATGAGCCAAGGTTCCTGGCTCTCTTCCTCTTTCTTTCCTCGAGAGGTCCAGAGTACCATTGAAGATCTTCCCTTTGACGGTGAAAAACTTTTCGCTTCCACCACGAACAACGTGCTTCACACAATGAAGGACTCAAGGGCAACCCTCCGGTCCTTAGGTCTCCAGACACCTACGACCAGGAGACGACAATATAGATATCAACCTTACCAACGCCCACGCTACCCCGCATATACACAACACTTCCATAAAGCACAGGAGCAACAACAACAACAGTAATGCCAGAGACCGAGATTCCAGCATCGTTGTCCCAATTCTGCAGGGGCGCCTCAACCCCCTCCAACTAATAAGCAGATTTGAAGCCTTGGTCGAAGGTTTAGAAAACAGCGTTCCCACTTCAGCCAGCACACCTATTTTTGGACACCGCCTACGACCATTCTCCCATCAATGGCAGAACATTACCTCCGACAAGTGGGTTATAGAGGTCGTTACAATTGGATACGCCATCCCCTTCCTCTCCTTGCCTCCCACCCACCCACCCTCCACGTCCCTCTTCAGGGACCCTTCTCACGAGCAACTACTCCGCCAAGAAGTGCAACATCTCCTTCAACTGGGAGCAATAGAAATTGTGCCAGAACGACACAAAGGGAAGGGTTTTTACTCCCATTATTTCTTAACAGAAAAGAAAACTGGGGGATCACGACCAATCCTCGACCTCAGGCGGCTCAACAAATTTGTCAAAAAGCAAAAGTTCAGGATGGTTACTCTCACCACCATAATCCCAGCGTTGGAGCAGGGCGATTGGTTTTCAGCCCTCGACCTACAGGACGCCTATTTTCATGTGACTATACACCCGGCCCACAGACGCTTCCTACGTTTTACCCTTGGCTCAACACATTTCCAATACAGGGTTCTCCCCTTCGGACTGTCCATGGCCCCTCGTGTTTTTTTCAAGATCCTAGCCGTAGTCACTGCCCACCTCAGGAAACAAGGGGTCATAATATTTCCTTACCTCGACGATTGCCTCCTCAAAGCCTCAACGTTCGACGAAGCTCTCCGATCCACACGGCTTACCGTCGCTTGTTTCCTATCTCTAGGCCTGCAAATAAACAAAAACAAATCCACATTATGCCCCACCCAACATCTGGAGTTCATAGGAGCATATCTCGACTCTCGGACGGGATTGGCATCTCTCCCACCTGACCGCTTCAGCTCCGTAAGCCTTCTGGCCACAAAACTTTGCAACAGTCCCCAGGTGACTGTCCGAGACTGTCTACAAATACTAGGTCACATGGCCTCGTGCACTTTCGTGGTGCAAAATGCACGACTCTACATGAGGTGCTTCCAAGCATGGTTGGGCACGGTTTACAGACCGAATGTGCACTCTCTAAACAAGACTCTCTTCATACCTTTCCGAGTCAAAGATTCTCTACTGTGGTGGACAGTTCACTCCAACCTCTGCTCTGGAGTCCCCTTTCTTCAAGAGGCTCCATCCCTCATACTGACTACCGATGCATCTCTGACAGGCTGGGGTGCACACATGTCTCACAACACATGGTCTTCAACTGAAACCTCTCTCACATAAATGTCCTAGAACTTCGAGCCATACGCAATGCGTGCCGTCACTTCTTCCCATTATTCAGGAATCACCATGTACGCATAATGACAGACAACATTGCATGCATGTTCTATGTAAACAGGCAGGGAGGAGCTCGCTCCCACTCGCTTTGCACAGAGGCTATGAAGCTCTGGAATTGGTGCCTTGCGAACAACATCCGGGTATCAGCTGCCTATCTTCCTGGAGTGATGAACACCACAGCGGACGAACTAAGCAGACGCTTTCCCTGGGATCACAAATGGGAAATAGACGAGAAAACCATTCACAACATATTCCGCATTTGGGGTCACCCAACCATAGACCTTTTTGCAACTGCGAAAAACACGAAATGTCCCGATTTTTGCTCCAGAGCGGGACTGGGCAAACATTCCCTGGGAGACGCATTCATGATCCCCTGGCACCGAAACTTACTCTATGCATTTCCCCCGATACCGGTTCTCAACAGGGTCCTGATAAAAATACGAACAGACCGTGCCAAGGTGATCCTGATTGCCCCAGCGTGGCCCAGACAACTGTGGTTTCTGTTCCTCACCAGAATGTCGATTCGACCACCAATCTCATTGCCTCTCATCCCGAACCTCCTATCACAGCAACACGGCCGATTTCTCCATCTCAACCTGTCCATGCTTCACCTCAAAGCCTGGTTCCTACATGGTTCTCCCAAAACGAACTAGATTGCTCTGAACAAGTTCAAAGAGTGCTCCTACATAGCAGAACACAATCTACTCGCACCACCTATCTACGAAAGTGGAAACGATTCACACATTGGTGTTCAGCTAAACAACTTTCTCCCATATCGGTACCTCTCCCGATCATACTTGACTACCTACTGGATCTTAAGCGATCCGGCCTTTCTTTCAGCTCCATAAGAGTCCATTTAGCTGCTATTACAACCTTTCATGACAAAATTGATGATACCTCTGTTTTTGCTCATCCTATCACCAAGCGTTTCCTCAAGGGACTCCAAGACCTATACCCAGACATTAAACCGCTTACCACTCCATGGGATCGTCATTTAGTACTATCTTGCCTAACTCAACAACCATTTGAACCCCTAGCCACGTGCTCCCTTTTAAACCTTTCGATGAAAACAGCATTTTTAGTGGCAATTACCTCCACCAGACGGGCAGGAGAAATAGCAGCTCTTATGGCAGACCCACCATATACGCTATTTTTCAAGGACAAGGTTACCCTCAGATTGCACCCTAAATTTCTTCCAAAGGTGCATTCATCATTCCACATTAATGAGCCGATATACCTACCAACCTTTTTTCCGAAACCACATGCCAACTCGTTCGAAGCCACAATACACACATTAGATGTACGCAGGGCCTTGTCCTTCTATTTGGATAGAACCAAACCTTTTAGAAATTCTTCTAGACTCTTTGTCTCCATCGCGGAGCATTCCAAAGGGACTCCTATTTCTACCCAGAGACTTTCGAACTGGATTTCTCAGTGCATCCGATTGTGCTATCAGATGAAGAAGGTTACACCTCCAGACGGCATCAGAACTCACTCCACTAGATCTCTGGCTGCCTCTGTAGCTTTCTTATGCAAAGTTCCCCTGGCTGACATCTGTAAAGCAGCCACTTGGTCCTCTGAACACACATTTGTTAAACATTATGCCCTTACTCAAGGCCCTCTCTCTGATATATGTTTGGGCAAGGCTGTACTATCTACGGCATTCCTATCAGATCTGAAGTCCCTATCTCCTTGAGACACACTGCTTTTAAGTCACCTGGAGTGGAGCACCCACAGGGACATCTCTCGAAGAAGAAGAGGAGGTTACTCACCCTGTGCAGTAACTGACGTTCTTCAAGATGAGTGTTCCTGTGGGTGCTCCACTACCCACCCTCCTCCCCTCTACTTCGGAGTTGGGGTAGCCTCCATTGAAGAGAAGGAACTGAGGAGACCGGCCACACATGCGTACTATTAAGCTAGACTCAGAGCGGGGGGGCAGCCTCTGCGCATGTGTGGCCAGTACGAGTACTGCTACAAAAATCTCTGAGCAAAGGCACAGGGACGCACCAACACCTGGAGTGGAGCACCCACAGGGACACTCATCTCGCAGAACGTCAGTTACTGCACAGGGTGAGTAACCTCCTCTTTCCCTGTGATCTGAAAAAACATACAGTCTCTAAGGGAAATTTTCAAAGACACAAACTAAAAGTCAGTTGGAGTTGAGTACCTAACTCCTCTTTGTGCCTTTGACTCTCTGTAGATGTGTTTGGTGTAGATTCTGAAGTACTTTCGACATCAGGAAACTGAAAGCCAGATGAATGTTCTGTCCTTTATCACATGGTCTATGGGCAAGCAGAATACTACTTCATCTGAAATTTGATAGCAGAATGTAATCTGGACCCATACTGTAATAAACAACAACCACAAAAAAACCTTCTCCGTATTGTTAAATGAATTTGCTTCAATTAGAATATAAGCATGGCCCTACTGGGTCAGACCAAAGGTCCATCGAGCCCAGTAACCTGTCTTCCGACAATGTTAGCAAACACTTGCTGCTCACTTTCCATAAATATAATAGAGAATACTGGCAGAAATGTTTGTGGAAACTAAGAATTTTAAGCAGACTTTGGGCAATAATTGTGAAAAATAAACTTTTGAATTCATAAATGTGATTTTTTCCCCCTCCCCCCCCCCCATTCTAAGCATTACCCTTATTTAACTAAGGAATGGAAACATACCATGTGATCAGTGTGTCCTCCTGACAGAATTTGAATTTAAATATCAAATACTTGTGAATGAGCAACAGACCAAGAATTATTTGCCAAATTTGAGTTAAAATAGCAAATAATCACAAGCTGTTTACAGTCAATTGGAGAACAGAAATACAGGAGAGTTAATGGAATATACTTTTTATCCAACTTTCTGAGGCACGTTCTTACTGCAAGTTCAAAGACAACTTCCTTACCTTGTGTGAGCTTGTATCAGAATCCAGAACAGGATGAAGAATCTCTTTACACTGGGATTCTGAAACTAGAAAGACATCAGAATACTTAACCAGACTCTCTCCCTTCCCCTCCCCCCGCCCGTTTTTTTCCCCCTGTTGAGTTTCTTTAGACAGAGCTCCAATGCCCCTTTGAGGGCTGTTGGGCTCATTGCACCAGTGAAGGTCTTCCCAACATGCCAGTTGGAATTTAGGATGACTTGTGCCAAGAACATACTTGTCCTTTTGAGGATCATAATTTTTCAGACTGACTTTGTGGCTTTCAAAATCTACTGACTGGCCTTCTGCAGCTCCTGCCTTGCAATTGGCAGGAGTGTTGTGTGTGTGTGTGTGTGTGTGTGTGTGTGTGTGTGTGTTAAAAGGGAAGCTCATCTTTCTCTTTGATTTAGGGCCCTGGAGGTTTTGGATTCTGTTCAGTTTATTATTGCAGATATGTAAACATTTGTTCTGAGGCAGCTCATGTGACTACCAGTTATACATTTTGGCATCACTGTGTGACAGTCATGCATTGCTGAAAACTTGAGACAGCACTGCATTCTAGAATTGTGGAACAGGATTCAGGACCTGGTCTTTCACCATTTGAAGCCAGTAGGAACTTTACCATTAACTTCAATGGATGCAGGATCAAGCCCCAACTACACTATATTTGAGCCTGATCCTGAAATATTCATTGCCTCCCATTGAGGTCAACTGGAGTTAAAGGTGCGTGGACCCTTTGCAAAGTACCAGAGAGATTATTATGTCCTATTTGAACATCCATGAGGGAGTCTCATAAGATTATTGCTAGAATAAGACGATTAAAGTCAGCTGGTGCCAAAAACTGAGTTAATTTTTAAAATGGTAGCAAATTAACTTATTGTAATTTTATCTTCATTATAATACAGCCTGTACTTTAATGAGCACACACTGCATCCAGATTTCCCATACTAACCCCTAAGTTTTAAAAGTTGCATGTGATTTAGACATACAGGCTAGATTCTTAGTTGATGTAAATTAGCATAGCTACATGAAATCTGTGGAGCTGTGCAGATTTACATAGCTGAAGCTCTAGCCTCAGTTTCCCAAAATGGAGGGATAAATGTTAATGCTTGGAATTGAATTATGAAAGACTACTTTTACTAAAAAGGGCTTCTAATGTGAGACTGATTATCAACAAAATATAACAGGACATATTAAAACCTTACCAGCCAAATTATGGTTATGTCTCAGAGAAATGACTTACTAGAGCTTATGAGAGTGCTTAGTTTGACTGCAAATAGGTTGTCTTCTGTTCTGACAAGCAACGGCTGTTGGGCCCTGTGGGGTGGTGTACAACAGCTTGTGATAGCAGGTGGCTATTTTTTGGATGCATAACTTAGTGTTAGGAATATGGATTTCTTGGATGGTCTAGGATTTTACCAAATTTTAAGACCGGTGATTGTCAGTACAAGTTTAACTATATTATTGTACAGCAACTCCTCCAAAATCTCCAACACTTACTGTTGTTTTTGTATCTTATTTTCCCACAGGGTTTCGAATATAGCCGTAGTGGAAATCCTACTCGGAATTGCCTGGAAAAGGCTGTAGCTGCACTGGATGGAGCCAAGTACTGTAAGCTCTCAGCATTTTCATTAAGAAATATGTCAGCATGTGTATCTTGAGTGGACTACAGTAAAAGTATCCTAAGAGGGTTGGAGCACTGGAGTTTGACCACTAACAGTAAATCATTTAACTCAGCTTTTGCTGTCAGCATTTACTTCATCAGCTTCTTCACTGGTCTAATCTTTTTTCTTAAAATATACCTGAATTAATATTCTTTAACCAAAAATGCTAACCATGGTTAGTATATAAATATCAATTCCACTCTGCAGGTCAGTAGAACTACTCATGCAGTAACATACTATTCAGTATAAGTAAGAGTGGCAGAACCTTGCCCTTTATAAAACATTGACACTAAATAGGAAAACGGGGGAGGCAGGGGGAACAGAAATTTTATGTTCATAACATGATGTAAAGACATCTCTCTATTAAAATGTAAATATGTATGTTCTCTGCCACAGTGATTCTTTTTTCTGTTCTAGGTTTAGCTTATGCTTCAGGCTTAGCAGCTACTATGAATATTGCACATTTGTTAAAGATGGGAGACACTGTTATCTGTATGGATGATGTTTATGGAGGTAAGTGAGCACAAATATATGTTAGGTCTTAACTGTGTTAGCTGTACTACACCTTAAATATATTAAATTGATCATAGATAACTAAGCATTTAGGATGTTCAACCAGCTATTGTTTGAATTGCATATTTATGATGACCTTATTTTTAATTGGAAAGAATACTTCATGCAATGAAAAGTCTTCTGTAATAACAGACCATTCCTTCATGACTTCGTTGGTCAAAGGTGGAGATGTGACTGTTTGTAGAATGGTTGCACTCGTTTAAGCTGGAGAACTCAAAAGGTATGGCTAACTGGTGATGTCTGCTTCTGAGAGGAAAAGTCCCAACCTCCTAGCTTGCACAGATAAATGTTGATTCTACTTAGGAATCCAGTAGCTGCTAAAGATCCAAAATGGCCCCAGATTGTCAGTGATCCAGAAAACAAAACAAAAAAACATCATCTCTGTCGCTTCCTCTAGATTACCTGTTCTACTCACCAGCTTCACCTCAATCCTGTCTGGATTGAGTTTCAGACAACTCTCATTGCAAACTATTATCTTTACCAGGAACTGTGAAAGCCTTGTCTGAGTCTGTTTGAGCTGTGAGTTCTCAATATATATTGATAACATTGCAACCCATGTTATCTTGTGATCTTCTTATCTAGTGGCCTCACAAATGTGAACAGGAGGGATAACACATCCTTATGGAGCCTTACATGGGGGAGGGGTGACATATCCTTATTGAGCCTCCATATGGTAGAGAAGGAATTGTTCATATTACTCTGGGAACTTTCAGAGGAAAGAATATATTAATGGAAATGTGACCTTGTCCACTTCTGCCAGAGTCTTCGAGAAAGTAAATACCACCTCAAGGTTCCTGTTTCATGGTCTGCAGAGAGAGCTAGAATAATCAGCATGGTCAACAGGTGACCTTTGTTCATCACTACAAGGAGATAATCAACCAACATAGCTAGTATAGCCTCCATATCATACCCAGATCTTGAACCAAATTGAAAAAAGACAGAAGAGTCCAGATGCCACAAGTTGATTAGCTGCCTCTTCAGTAAAGGAAAGGTTAGGGAAAGGCCAACCATTTGGCAATATTTGTTAAAAGATGATTTCTTGAGTAAGAGCTGGACAGTATGTTTGAAGGAATTCAGCACCTTGCCCTCCATTATCCACAAAGCAGTTTCTCATATTAAAAAAATGTTAACTTATTTTCCAAGCCACTTAGATTTACCTGGCTGTCCAGTACATGAAGCAGTGCTGCTGACTTAAATTTACAGAGGAAATGGTGGAATTTACTTCTCCACTACCAAAACCAGCATAGCCTGAGACTTAAATGCTCCACACTACAATCTTTCAGGCTCCAGCCTTTCAACCGTGACCACTGGAGATGGGATACTGACCCCTGCCATGTAGCCTCTATTGGCTGCTGTTACAAACCGCCTCCCCTCATGCTTCATCACTTGCAGGTCATCCATATACCAGGATAACCTGTGGGGATAGCTTAAAAAAGGGGGGTTACTAAGGAACCATTGTGTCAGAAGATGATAAATCATCATAATGTCCTACCAGGCAATCAGTAAAGTAGGCGGCTGGCTGTAGAGTATTTCTCTGCAGAAGTATGCAATCCAACCTGGTCCATTACTTTCCCAGACAGAATAAATGGGGGGGAAGGGGAAAGTCTTCTACACTGATGAGAGCAAAAATGAGCCTTTATCTCCACCTGAAAAAGGTAATGCTAGCATGACAAGGGTGTGATCCTCACATTCCCAACCCAGAAATAAGATCTAAAGAGTCTATTTACATGTATGGAGCCAAAAGGAATCCACAAGTTAAATGTCATATGCGTATGCGAACCCAAGTTGACTCAGAAAACCCATTCTCTACATGGGCATCGAAGTTGCCCAGACAGAATTGTCTTGGTGAGATTGACATCTCTCTTTAAATAGGTTATTTCCAGTGTTTAAAAAAATTAAATAAAAAATTACACTGGATATGCCTACAGCCCTTGGTCATCGCTGTAGGCTTTGTGGCTAAACCTCTGAGTTAATGAGCTCACCAGGGTGGATTTGATTTAAATCAAATTGATTTAAATTATGATTTAAATCACTAGTCAGGAAGCCTCGATTTAATTATGGATTTCTACATAAGGTTGTTATAACCTTAATACATATTCTTCACAAATCAGAGATAGATGTAGGTTTCATTTTTTAGAAGGTACACACTATGCATTTTTTAAAGTGATTTATTTTGAAAACTTTTCAGATTAGTTTTACAGCTAAATCAGAAAATAAATGATTGGTTATTTTACCAAAAGTAATTGAAGCAGATAGTTCACCTCCCAATGACTTCATAAATATCTCCAATTCAACAGGTTAATCATTAATATTTGGAGGATTTTCTTGCCATGCTGTATTAGGAGGAGAACATCACCAGACAGACATTTAAATTATTTTATTTAACTAAAACAACAACGTTATGTATTCTGGATTTTTTCTTCAACAGCAAACACATAATATTTTAACAAAACAAGAATATGAATTTTTGAATTTAAACATTCAAGTTTTTTAAAATCAGGCTTGTTTTTGTTAACATTGTTTTAACTAAAGAAGTTAAATGAAATATTTAAAAAAAAATTAAATCAACTATGTCAGCCACGTCAACACAAGAAATTTAAAATATTGGCTTCTGTAACTAAGTCAGTCGTCTTCACCTTCATTTTCCTGTTTGCTCATATTCTGGAAAAGGAAAAACAAACTTTCCTGCTTTTTTCAGGTCCCAAACGATTTCTAAATTTGGAATGAATTAGTCCAAAGGAAGAAAATATCCTTTCTACACTGGCAGAAGAAGTTACTGCTGTTAAAAGTGAGATTATCACTTCAACAGTCTCCGAATCCAAGTGCTTAAGTGACTTCCACCAATTCACTGGTGTGACTTTCTTTAAAACATCATCAGCAAACATATATTTCTTGAATGGTTCACCCTTAGCTCTGAAGTTTATTATAGTTGGCATTATGGAGGGATGATTGCTGGATGTCCATGTCATAGCCAACTCCTCTTCTTCAGCAGTTAAGGTTTGACCCTGGTACCGAGTATTGAGAATATTTGCAAGAAAATGAGCTGGAGATAGTGCTTGTCCCATTCGTGGGTTTTTTTGTTTTTTTGTAATTTAACTCTGTCATTGCATATTTCTCTTTTTAAGCTCTCACTCAGTTCCTTCCAAATTTCAACAGCGTCAGCAATAAAATAGCTATTTCCCTGCATTTTGTTCAAGGCTACAGAAATAGGCTTCAGGGTACTCAGCATGTGTTCAACATTTCTCTTAAGCCCAATGGCGAGAACTTTGGCTGTGACAGTGCCATCTACTTTTTCACAATTTTGTTCACAAACTGTCATCAGATTAGGCCAGATCTTGATATAGTGCTCAAAACAGTCCACTACTGAGTTCCATCGTATGTCTTGTGGGAGAGTTAGCTTGGTTCCCCCCACCTTTTTCAGAGCAGCTACTGCAAAGTGGTTGTTACGGAAGTATTTTGCAATTTCAACAACATTAGCCTTTATTTCTGGAACACTGAAGTCTTTGGCTAGGAGGTGCATCAAATGAGCAATGCAACCGTATGTTATTAGCTTGGGACTCTCTTCACTCTTCTAAATAATTTCTTCTCATCTTGGATACATTTGCAGCATTGTCTGTGACCAAGCTGCGTACTAGACATTTGAATTTTTTTTCCACAGTTTGTTATAGCTTTTACTGCTGCTACTGTAAGTATTCTGCTGTGTGTACATTTCCTGATGTATCAATTGTTTCTGTAAGGAAGACATTCCCTTCTTCTGTTGTCACACAAGCACATACAACAGGATCATTGTGGACATTGTTCCACCCATCAAGACTCAAGTTAACAATTTTACCCTCTAGAACTTTTGCACCCTGCTCAATCTCTTTCATACACTTTATCCAGCAATTTGCCTGCGACATCTGCTCTGTTGGGTGGACTGTATCCTGGTCTTAATGACTGAACCATGTTAATGAAGTGTGGGTTCTCAATCATACGGAAAGGAGAGTTTGTTGCATAAACAAACCATGCAATTTTTTCATCAATTACCTCTTTTTGTAATCCGCTGGTTCTCATCACAAACTTATCTATGGTTGTTTCTGGATGATGGAGATTTGTTTTTCTTTTTGCTACAGGTGATATACTGTGGCTATGTGACATACATGATGTGACTGAAACATTATCATTTTCAGAGTTATCTGCCACTGTAGAAAATGATGGTGATCTTGAAGGTGGATAGTCTTCAGAATCCTGTATGTTGAGGATGGATTCTCCTAAACAAAATAAGTCAATGCAGTTATTTAATTATTATTACCATAATGCTCATTTAGTATTACTCATTGCATTCACTGACACTCAGTACTACTTTAAAGGTGAAATTGTAAAAGGAAGATCTGCCTATTTCAGCTATTTATTTTTTATCACAAGTGCATCTAAAATGATAGTACCATAGAGTAACATCTATCTATCTATCTTAAAATTTTTTTTTTTTTGGCTCAAACATGAGAATTCAAGAGTAGTCCAAAAGGAAGACAGGCAGTCCTTAAGAAAGAAGAATGAAATAAAAAAAATTACCGACTTGAAAATCCTGCATGTTCAGACATGTTCCTTTCATTATCTTCAACGCAGCTTCCTCCTGAGAAGGAACACTTCTCATGATGTTGTTTCATTCGGGAAACCAGGCCTTGCATTTCTTTGTTGCACTGTTTGCATTTTGCACGCATTCCTGTCTTACCCACAGGTAGAGGAACTTCATTAACATATTCCCAAACTGGGTCTCTTATACTGCCTGCTGCCATTATAGGTTTTCCGTTCTAGTGAGAGAATGGTATGGTAGATCTCAAATCAATGAAGGCTACACTCAGAAAGACCTCAAGTCTTCTGGAATATGCTGCTCAAACAGTTTCACTTTTGTTTCTACTGTCTGTCCCTCCTTTCTCGCATTTCTCTCCAGACTTCTTCTC